ATTTAGAGAGATGCACTTACGACATGAGCCACTGGTGTGGCTTCTCCAGTCAATGCAAACACCTTGGTCTGCGCAAGTTGATGCATAGATCTGAAGACTTGCACATTCCATCTTACGTTCAGGAACAAAGCAGCTGTCAAATACACAGGCTTCATAATAGTTGACAGGATCAACAGCAGCATGACATTTCTTGAAAACGCTAGATGGAGAAAAAAAATAAAGCACATTAGGTATAGAATGGTTTGTACTTATTTCAAGAAACCATTTACTATATACACTTTACACTACAAGAAGATAGGAGAACATAAACTCTTTGATGTGAAGATAGACTGATGCTTGCTTCACTGGAGAGGAGAAGATTAGCTCTTCCCTCCTTGATGCAGCTTCCAGTATTCTCCAAGCTCCAGTTAGGCTTTACACCAATGGAGAAGATCCTTTAAAGACCTAATTGCCGCATTGGAGAGATGAAGAGAATCCCTTATCTCTGATCACTGCCCTGAGGTAAGGCCAGGGGGAAGCTAATGAGCAGGCTTAGTACATCTAATACTCCTTGGGTCAATACTCTTTAGTTCATAGTCTAAAATTACTAGAGAGGACAACTGGGTTCTATACACATTATGCTTTCATTCTACAATACTGAATACATCTTTCTTGAAGTTAAAAAGAGAGCCCAGATGGTGAGAATCCAAATTCTATCAGGAAGGTTCTGAATCTCTGTTCATTTAGGACATTAGTTGGAATGTTTGGCTTCCAGGACAAAATCTTTTGAATTACCCCACTGTGGATCACTTGGACAATTTTCAAATGCTTATATATTTAAATAAATATGAATATGAATAAATATGAATATGCAGTAATTATAACTAGTAGCAAATTATTATTGTTAGTATGTTAGTCTGTCAGTAGTAGTGGTGGTAGCAACAGCAGCAGCAGCAGCTGCAGCAGCAGTAGCAGATCAAGGCGGGGAATAACAACAAATAATCCAACATGTAACATCAGTTAAAAGAGCATCTAAAACCAATAAATTTTAAAATCCATCAATAAATACTCGAAAAACCATAATTTAAAATAATCTGGATAGGCCTGCCAGAGAAGACTGGTCTTTACTGCCAGTTTAAACACAGACAGCATCTCAAGCTGACAAATCTCTTCCACAGTCTAGGACAGCTAAAGAAAATGTCCTATGGGTAACAGTCAGCCTAGTTTTGGCTGACAGGGGAAGGTGATGTTGTAGGTAACCTGGACCCAAGCCATGTAGAGTGGTGGTTCTCAAACAGTGGGGCAGGACCCCCAGGGGGATGAAAGTTACTCAAGGGGGACATAAGATGGAGGCCATGATCCTCCCTTTTCCCAAATATTTTTATGGGTAAAATGTATACACATGTTGAATTAATGCTGAATTTACTTAAATAAAACTGTTCTAATTTGAACAATGTTATTTCCTTATAAAATGTTAAAACATGAATATACATGAATGTGTGAATGAAAATATGAACACTAAATAAGCAAAATATTTATGTGTAGAAAATAATGGTTAAGCTGCCATGTTTAGAGGATTCTGGAAAGTGGGCCTCTAAGGAAGATGCTGGAACGTTTAAACTCAAAGAATGCTAGAGGGTTGTTTAGATACACCTCATGCCTGGTAACCTGATGCATTAAAGACCTTCATTAGGAGCCAGTGTGGGCCAGAGAGCCATAATAAATCATTGGCAGCTATTCTTGTTTGTGCAAAGGGGCCTTCTGCCTGGTACACACCAGTTAATTTACTGATAAGAGATTTTGGCATGTGGTTGGCATAGCAACATGGTAACTTAAGCATATTATAATGTATTCTGAAATCTGTATTCTCATTGCTCAGGATTCTATATGTTTAAAGTTTAGAGCATCCAATAGAATGTCAGCTTTGATTTTCTTTGTTCGAGAGTGTATAAAACTACGGCCATCTTGGCTTGTCTTTCGCCCAATGATCTGAATGCTAATTCTGTTGGGAATTGCCGACAATAAATCTATGTTTTTAAACTACTTTTGTGGTCCCCTATTCTGCTTCAAGCTCTGCAAAGAACTGTGGATGCTGGGAGTTAATTTGCAACAGTTGGTTTTTCCACTACAATTTAAGAAAGAGAACCATGGTATACAACAAGGCTCAGGGATCAGGACTTGGGAACTGCACTGGACGACTCTGGGGCTTATCAGGAATGGCACTACTTCTCCTTTTAGTGCTGTTGATATTATTGAAATTCTATGGTGGCCACCAAACTTGCCACTATTACTATATTGGTGCCAAAATTCAGCAGCAACTCTGTCATCTCTCTGTGGTCCAAAACACACTGCAGAGGTAATCCAGTTTGAAACCACTTTAACTGCCCTGGCTCAGTGCTAGGGAATTCTGGGAACTGTAGTTTTGTGAAACATTTAGCCCTCTCTGTCAGAGAACTCTGGTGTCACAATGAACTACAATTCCCAGGATTCCTTAGCACTAACCCAGGTCAGCTAAAGCAGTCTCAAACTGGATTATTTCTGCAGTGTGTTTTGCACCAGTGGACAGGAAACTACAGCATATGCCCTTCTATAACACAGAGCCATACGAGAAAATCTGCTTCCTTTCCTACTGGAGAGAGAAGTTTCAAGTGAAACTGCCATAATTTTCAGATGCATGGGTATGGCAGTGAGGATCCTTTCAACTACCAGTTCTGAAGTTGTGGGGCCCCAAAGCAGGTGAGGAATGAAAAGGAGGCATGTGGTGGACATATGCAGTACAAGGGCCCAGGATGGTTATTTTAAAGCATGTGTAGCAGAACAACAATTTGCTATCCAGTAGGAGATAGTTACAAGCAATAGGGGAGAATAGCAGTTACAAAATACCCTACCCACACATCTTAAGTGACAAGTCACTTGCCACAAATAAAACACTCAGACACTAAATAAAATTCTAAAATAAAATAACTCAAAATGCAGTTAGGACTAAACACCAATTTAAACAAAAGTAAATACTAGAAATGAAAATAATTAATTCTTTTACCTGCCAAGTATAAGCTCACAGAGTGGAGAAGGTTTGCAAGGTGGTGGCCTAGTTGGGGGGCGAACTGTTGTTATTTGGCGAGGGCACTGGGGCTTGTTGGGATCATTGACAATCCAGTCATCTGCCATCGTTTCACAGTTATCTGCAAGGGCTCCATTGCGTAGCATGCAGTCATCTGCTGTATTATTGGTGCAGGTGCCTAAGATTGATGACAGACAGATGAGTTAATGGGGGGTGGGGTGGAAACACATGTTTTTATTCTTAATTAACCACAATTTTAAAAGGGCTGTTGGAACAATAGCCTTTAACCCATAGCATAGAGCTTTGTGACTTTAAGAGGTGATATGATAGCTCTGTTTAAATATTTGATGGGTTGTCATATTGAGGAGGGAGCTAGCTTGTTTTCTGTTTCTCCAGAGAATAAGACCCAGAACAATGGATGCAAGCTACAGGAAAAGAGATTCCACCTCAACATTAGGAGGAATTTCCTGACAGTGAGAGCTGTTCAATAGTGGAACACAGTGGAACTACTTGGTTGAGTCTCCTTCTCTGGAGGTCTTTAAACAGAGGCTGGATAGCCATCTGTTGTGGATGTTTTGATTTTGAGTTCCTGCATGGTGGGGGTTGGACTGGATGACCCTTGTCGTCTCTTCCAACTCTATGATTCTATCAGATGTGTGGTTTTGATCTCATTCAACTAATTTTCATAGGCTAGATTGAGGACTTGCCTTATGTGAAGAGAAGGACAGCAGTTATGGAAGATATCTTCCACTCTCAATTCAGAGAAACCACTGTCAACACACACAGCTTGTAGTGGGACAAGTAGTGGGGGAAATTGTGAGGAAAGTTTTGTTACTGTGTTGTTGGAACAGGATTTGGATCCCTATGAGTGAACTGTGATGTTGCAAGTCTGATTTACACCACCATAATTTAATAACAGGATGCCAGCTCATGTTATTATCATTACTTCAATTGGCTGTGTATGAACGTAATTTCAAAATCCTAAATCCTATTGTTAAACCTAATCTGGGCATACCCATTAAATCAATTGTTGAGAAGTAAGGGCCTCGGCAGATGGCTTATTGAGCCGTCTCCAAGGCAAGGAAGAGGAGGGGCAGCCACACGCGTGGCGCCCCTTCCTCTTCCCGAGGTCGTCCTCAGAGCCGCCGGCCCTCCGCACGGCCGGCGCTCCAGGGACAACCTCCCACCGCAGCGACCACACGCACTGTGGCGGAAAAGTCAGGGAATGTATGCCCTACGCGTTTAGGGTGCACTTTCCCTGACTTCTAAAAGGAGCGCCAATTTGGAGCTCCTTTTAGGGACACCGCAGGAGTGCCGCGGTGCGGAGGCTGCGGTCCCGCGGCGCTCCGTCTGGCGGCGTCTGGGAAGCTCTCGTCTGCTTCCTCCCTCTGTCAACACTGATGTAAATCTAATGGATTTATTCTACTTGGGACTAATTGTTGATATAGGCAAGAATAGAGATGGAAAGAATATTCAGAAATATTCAGAAAACAGTAAAAAATATGTATTTCAAGTCTAGAGAAATCTGATAAGAAGAATCCTGGACTGATAAGAATCTTCACAGTTCAGGACATTTGTTCTATGCAAATTAACACATGGCTGTTTTGCAGAAAAAAACCATTATTTTCTGGATGGAAAATAATACTTCAATGTAGAAATATTAATTCATGGGCAGAAAATGCTGGGGGGGTTGTACAGAGAGTGATATAATTGAGATTTTTTTTTCTGTGTTGGTTGAGTTGCACAGAAAGTAGCATTTTCTTTACATTAATTAATCTTTCTGCATTAAAATATTATTTTCCACACTGAAAATGTTGTTTTCCATGGACAAAATGCTGCTTTCTGGGCAAAACAGCCACATGTGAATTTTGTGCAGAGTAAGTCACAGATTGTGAATTGCCTTCAAAAACTGAGCCACTTTCTCACAGTAGGAAGAAAATTGCTGAAATTGCTTACTGCAACCAGCATAGTTTAGTGGTTTGAACATTGGACTATGCAACCAGGGTTCTTGCAACCAGGGTTCAAATCCCTGCTTGGCCATGGAAATCCATGGAGTGGTCTCAGGCAACTCACACTTTCTCAGTGTCAGAGGAAGGCAAAGGCAAACGCCCCCTAAACACATCTTGCCAAGAAAATCCTGGGATAGGTTCACCTTAGAGCCTGCATAAGCCAGAAATGATTTGAAGGTACACAACTACAAGAACCTTTGAGAAGAAACCTAGTAAAGAATTATATCCCTAGGCAAGAATGTCCGTCTCTTGTATATCAAATACTTTTCTTATGATTCAATTTCCAAGATGTTATTTTCAAAGCACAATCAAAATACTCCTTACCACACTGTCCCTGGGTATTGTTGCCAAATAGACGATAGGGCAGTCTGATAGTGAAGGATAGGCCATTGTAAGTTATATTCACTCCCAATAAAGGAATCTCCACCAGATAGTTTAGACCTGACTCATAAACGTAGATACCATATTTTCGGAAAGGTAATGCCACAACCACGTCATTCACAGTCACCTGTTTAAAGGAGGGGAAGGGTATAGATAAGTTACATATAATGTTTACAGGAACTAGGTTTTGTTTAAGCCTACACTGAAATATAGAGCTAGGGCAAAATCCAAATAAAATGAAAGATTAACTGTTTTGAGTAATTGGTTTTCTTGCTTTTTATTATCCATTGGAACAATTAAAGCAAATACTAAACTATCATAATATAAAGGATATTTTGAAAACATTCAATGAAGCAATATCTCAATCACTTCGAAATGATGAACTGCATTGAGATTTTTAAAATAATTCATAACTCTTTCGAGAAGAATGTCTTTGCTCAACAAAGTTTTGCACATAAAAGTGTAAACTTGCACAAAAAACTCTCTGTTTGCACAACATTCAGCATAAGCAATGTATAAAATATTATATTTTTAAATTTGAAAATAGGTTATGGATTTTTATAATGGATTTTTATAAATGCATTAGAACATTAAAAATGGAAAAAAGGCTAATTAATTAATTGAAATGAAATGAAATGAAATGGTGGGACCGTCAGGCTTATTCCCAAAATCAAATGCTCCTCCAGCCACACCACAGTTGCCTGCCCTGATCTATACTGAGATAATGAGGTTAGAGCTGTCTCAGATGAGTTCCTGAAAGAAGTGCTTTGACATCTGTGTACAGTTGTTCCTTTCTAGAGTTTGACTAGGAGGAGGTGGATATGACATTCACACAGCTGATGCAGTCCCCCAGCCAGAAATAATGAATATAACCTGTTCAAGAACAAACATCTATCTACAAGGGGCTGTAGCCACACTTATGAAGGTGAGGAAAGGAATGGGAAATGGCACTGCTTGAAGACATTCTTGTAAGAGATAAAAGGAGGGAAAGACCATGGCCTAAGGTTGTCCTGAGTCCTGAGCTGTTCTCAGAGCAAGCTTGGAGACAAGGGAAAGGGCTCATTCTGAGATCATAAGCAACCAGGAAGATGGTTAGCCCACTGCAGAAGGTGAGATGCCCATTATTCTTTGCCTAACCTAAGCTCCAGGGCCATTCTACTGCCCATATTGGTAATCAAGCTAAATGGGGATGTGTGGCCACTGTTGTATCTGAAATAAAAGAGTGTGGAAAAGATCTGGAGCATGTTTCCATGCAAGGAAACTCTAGGTCATGATTTATTTGTCTGAGTTCTCCACCTCTAAAATAGGATTGTTCATATTAATGTTCATATTAATGGCCTGATTCAGAAGAATGCTGTGAAAGTAACTGAAAGTAGTTTGGTGGCCTTCTCAGTGGCTGCTCCCAAGCTCTGGCCAGGTTGGCTCCATCCCTGCTTTCTTTTTGGCAGCATATAAAAACATTTTTATACTGCCAGGCTTGGGTGCTTTATATAGTTATAGAAGAGATTTTTTAAAAGAGAATTTTAAATTTTAATAATGTAATGTTTTTAATATTTTGAAATTGTTTAATTGTTTTTAAACTTTGTATTTTTAATATTTCATACTGTTTTAACTTAGGGGCTCTGCAGACAGTGCAAAGCGCCGTCTTTGAGCCAGGGAAGAGGAGGGGCAGCCGGATGCCCCAACCCCTTCCCGAGGACATCATTGGAGTGCGCGCCATTGCACACGGCGAGCCCTCCAATGACGTCCTTCTGGCGCAGCCTCCACATGGGCTGAGCTGGAAGGAACGCGAAGAGGCATGTGGCGCCTCTTCCAGTGCACCTTCTGTCCTCTCTGGAAGGAATGACATTTTAGCACTCCTTCTAGGGCTGGCAGAAGGGTGTGTTGAGGCTGCTGCGTGTGTTAGTAGCAGCTCCAATACTCCGCTTCTCGGGGCAGCCCATGGCCGCCTGTCTGCTCTCCCTCTTAGACTGTTTTGTTAGCTGCCTTGAGTCTCTATACCGGGAGGAAGGTGGGATATAAATAAATAGAATGATGATGATGATGTATCTGTAAGGTATTCACCAGGGAGTTTCAAAAGAAAATCAGCAGGTTCTTTATAGACTATAGCAAAGCCTTTGACTGCATATATCATAAGGCTATGGAATGCCCTTAAAGACATGGGAGTGCCAACACATCTGATAGTCTTGATGAGGAATCTGTATTCAGGACAAGAGGCTACTGCCAGAACAGAACATGGAGAAACAGAATGGTTCCCAATTGGAAAAGGAGTCAGACAAGGCTGCATCCTTTTACCCCATCTGTTTAACTTATATGCAGAACATATTGTAAGAAAAGCAAGTTTGGACACAGAAGAAGGAGGAGAGGCAACAATCTAAGATACACAAATGACACCATAATACTAGCAGAAAACCTCAAAGACCTGGAACAACTACTAAGAAAGATCAAGAAAGAAAGTGCAAAGGCAGGTCTATTGTTGAACATAAAGAAAACAAAAATAATGACCACAGAAAACCTACACAAATTTGAATTAGACAATGAAGAAATAGAAATAGTAAAAGAATTCTCATACTTGGGATCAAACATTGATAGAAATGGAGACTGCAGCCAGGAAATCAGAAGAAAATTAAAAATGGGAAGGGAAGCTATGAAAGAATTAGAGAAGATCCTAAAATGCAAAGATATACAATTGAGCACAAAAATTAGAATCATACAAGCCATTGTATTCCCTACTACCATGTATGGATGTGAGAACTGGACAGTTAATAAAGAAGACAGGAAGAAAATCAACTCATTTGAGATGTGGTGCTAGAGAAGGGTGCTAATGTTTCCATGGACAGCCAAAAAGACAAATTAATGGGTCCTAGAGCAGATCAAGCCAGAAATCTCCCTGGAAACCAAATGACAAAACTTAGAACACATCATGAGAAGACATGAATCACTGGAAAAACCAATAATGCTAGGAAAAGTGGAGGGAAGTGGGAAAAGAGGAAGGCCACATATTAGATGGATGGACTCTATTAAAGAGATCACAAGTATTTTTTTGCAGGAGTTGGGCAGAGCAGTGGAGGTCAGGGGATCTTGGAGATGTCTAATCAGCAGGGTCGTCATGGGTTGAGATCAACGCAAAGGCAGTTAAAACAACAACAAAAGGCATTCTGCATGTTTTATATATGTGTGCTATTAGAAACTATTTCTAAATTTCAGGATCCATTCCATGCTGAAATGTCAGCCATTTCACTCATACCTCTACTTTCATAGGAATCATTCTGACTGTTGTTACTCGCACTTCTTGGGTCTCATGCTTTACAATGAGTGTGCGTGGACAGGACACAACTTCCCGTGGGTCACAATGGTAATTATCAATGTACACTCCAAAGTTGTCAATGGTTTTATGAATCTCTTCCACCAGGGTATAAGTACAATTGCCTTGGTAACTGTAGTAGAGGCCATCAAATGTCACATAATGTGGGTCTCCCCAGCCAGTGCAGTAGCCTTCAGAAAGACAAGAGAATTGGATAAGGTTTTTGTCTTGCAGCACATGAAGAAACATGAATAAATATTTCTAAAAGGGAAGGCAATCTATCCTAGCAGCTCTTACATTTAACATAAAATCTAGGAGTAGAAAGAAAATATGCAAATCTTGGGATAAAATAAAGTTACATTTACTAGTGATAATAATGGTCCATGAAACTGGAAGTCTCTTGATGTCTTGCACTGGCCTGATGCTCTGTTACATCAGCATGAGGCATGGGAATGAACAGCAGCAGCAGAGATGTGACAGAGGAAGTCATTTCCACCACCAGAGAAAGCAGCTCTGCTGCCCACCAAGCTTCTCAGGAGCCACATTTGCACAAGGTGTTGCCTCTTTTTGAAGGAGGAAACTGTGCTAAATGAGAATAGAGCATATGTGTCTCTGTGTAGATTGCTGACCTCACATTTATTTTAGGTATGAGACAGGTTGGGAAAGGTGCCTATCCATTCCTACATCATAAGAAAAGATGCTGCCACCATGAAGGAATGGTGGCATTTGAATGGCATTTCTACTGTTTGGTCATCTTCTCAGTGGATTTATAAAATAGGAGATATTACCCCACTAGCTTTTCTGAAAGTTGCTTTTTCTGATTTGGAAACCAAGCCTCATGTTGCTCTGGAACCATGGGAAGGCATTCTGTCTGGTAGATTTTCAAATGCATGCTTTTTTTCATAAGTCCTGCACATGTTTCTAAGACTACCTTTTGGCACTGAACGCAGGGTCCAAGGCTGAGGCTTAGATAGAGCTTCCTGATTCCTTTCATGTGCAATCCATATGACTAACAAACAAAAACCTAACTGCAGCTTTAAGTCCAAATTAACTGCCAAAGAGGAGAATGAGTATCTTATCAAATTAAATTCTATGTTCAGTACAATCATTTTTCTGTATCAACTGCAGCCACTTAAGTGAACACCAAATAAATTTTATATGTCAACTCACAGTCACATTCCCAGTGCCAGCAGCACCCATCCTCATTCACTACACGCACAGGGGTAAGCCCATTGGCACACTGAGGCTTGGGGGGTGGATTGCATGGTACAGAAATCATCTCCCATTGATCATCTGCAATACATATGGCTTGGACGCATTCACATATCCACCAAATTTCCCCTGG